GGTTTTGTGATCCCTACCTACATGCGTACTTACAATATGCAAGAGCCGTTTTGAAAAAAGCGTGGCTTGCCCTGAAAGACTCCCTTGTTAGTATTTTCTCGTATCGAAAACAACTTCTTCCTCGCTGTTTCTTGGACGTAAAGAAGAACCGATAAGAGAGCTTGTTCCTATATTGCCTAGTATTCCAAATAAGAAATTTGCATCGTCCTCGCTTCTCCATCCCATCGCGATTATACAGCCGCGGTCAGATTGCCATGCAAGGCAGGAATTGCCATGTGCAAAAGCATGAAAACTTAGGCGCAATAGTCATGTCATCGTCTAGGAATCAATCCCTCCATAGTTCTTTTGAGCTCTTCAGTATGTAAGGCAATTGTTGAGAACGCTATGGGGAACGAAGTTTTTTGTTTGGTGGAGCAAGAATAATGCATGGGATTGATGTTGCCATGGTGACGCTCGGGAGTGAAGTGTTCTACTGAAAGGTCTTTTGGGCGGCGAGCGTTGGATATCCGGCATAATCGCTGTCATCGCTGGATAAGATGACCGTGGCTAAAGTGGATCAAGGTGAGTGCACTCATCTACACGATTATTTTCTTGCTCTTCTCTTGAATCCATCCCAATTGCTGCTTTTTGCTTTACTAAAACTTAAAGCGCTAGGCAATCAACAGAACAGCGAACTCCTATATGAAGGGAATATTAGGGTAGGTGGAAGTGAAAAGTGGAAAAGTGGAAGAAATCCCTTTTTTTATTTCTCTATTGACGGGGTGCTATCATAAAGATCACTTGAGCCATTGCGAAATATGTGCCAAAGCAGTAGGGAGCGGCAACAGCTGTTGGAATCCTCGGTAGTATAGTGGTGAGTATCCGCGTCTGTCACATGCGAGACCCGGGTTCAATTCCCGGCCGGGGAGGAAGTTTTGGTTTGTTGTGTAAGCGTCGTTTATCCAATGCAGAATTCGAAAACTGTTCGTGCCGTGTGTCGCGCGCTCGAGCTAGGCGTAAGCATCATCCTCCATTTGTTACTGTAGAGCTTACATTATATTCCCCACCCGATAGATACGTAGCATATAAGACTTCGGAGGATTAAAAGAAGCGGACGATAGTCTTCCTGACCCCAGCTGGGAGTGTGTTTTTTTTGAGACGTCCATCATCACCATGGATAGCTTGCCGCAAAAAAATCGACGATTGACGGGCAGATGACGTTGTACTCTGAAGGCGGTGTGAGGAGTGAAGGAGGCATATGGGTCTGCTTATGGTGGGACACCTATGGACATTTTACTCTATTAATCCCATCAACGGCGGCATCTTTTGCAACGGAAAGTTTGATGGGGTGCGCCCTGGACGAAACATCCTTTGTTGTTCGTGCCCTGCTTATTGGAGCCCGTGGTGCAACGTCTGACATGTAAATCGTCAAGACTACTGGGAGGTCTGATTGGTTCTATTAGCATGGCATGCCATTTAGGAGTTTTGCCCTCAAATTAGGCGCCTTCTCCTCCCCCCAACTACCACAACATGGGCAGCATCGTACCAAAGGCAGTTTTTCTACCGAGTTTTGAATTTCAGCAATGTACTCTATGTAATCGCAATTTTAAGTTTTCTGGCCATTGCTGTGAATTTAATGGAGTTCAAAGTAGAAGAATCAATTTGGAGGGAAGCAGGATAAAGCTTGAGGAGTCTAAAGCACATTAGAATTTCTGTTACAGTGCAATCCCCTGCAAGTATTCAGAGATCTTTTCTCTCTCTTTAACACCCGTTTCTCTCAAGTATTAATGTCTAGATTCTTGGTGTGCGTAATGGTTAAAATCTTTGATTCATGAGGATTTGAATTTTCTGACGAAAAAGTCTCTGTCTCATTCTCGAGTCTTTTCAAGAGAAAAAAGTGATGCTCGAGAAAGATTTACCGAACGCTTCTGACCGCTATTGTAGATATGATGCTTGCTAATACACCTAAAACAATTGAATACAGATACCATAATCTCGCAAATGTTCAAATGAAAAGAAAAGTTGGGGTTAGGGTCAAAAGTCCATTCGCACCATGCGAAGACTAGGAGGTCGCATTCGCGGCCATCTATATTTGTGTGCGGGTGTTTTTGAAGATAATGAGGTGAAGGAAAATTTGGAATTGAAAGATTTGCCGCATTATCGGACACATTTATCCATCCCCTCCCCTACCCCCACCTGCCCACCGCTTGACGACCCCTTTGGAACAAAAAGTGGGCAGATTTTGGCTGTGTCGACTGGTATAACTCATATACTATAGGAGGTAGGGGCAGGATTGTCTTAAGGGGGTATTTTAGGAACCTCCCAAGGCTTATGGTGGTGGTGGTGGGTCGCATCAAGACCCCTTAGGGGGGGGGGAGTGCGGGGGTGGTAGCAAAAATTTTGAAAAGTGCGGACGCGACAGCTGCCCATGGTTGAGTGTCACCGAGGCTAGTTAAAGCCTTCTTAATCGACACTCGGCCTTGGGGACCCTTGCGAAAAAAATGCTATTCATTTTGACTTGTTTTTGTTAACAGCTGCTTTTGGCCGCAGCTTCGTTCACAACCCAGCATTCTTGTGAAGCTGTTCATTTTTAGCCAATGCCACATACTCGTCACTTCGAATGGTGATATTGAGCCTGACTCCTGGTGATTCAAAATGCCGTCTCTACTGTAAGGGCCGTGCTTGCCGTTATTGCAATATATTCGTTGGGACAAGTGCCATTCCTGGGCTGTACTCTACGTGGTGAGTTTTGAGTTAATCTGTGCCCTTTTTTCAACCATCGGTGGACTTATTTTGATACTTGTTATTTGTGAATCTTATTGTTGAGGGTCACGGATGATATTCTTGCAATGGCCAGACCGCAACCGGCTCACTTCGAAAACGACAAAATTATACGCCTTCTGAAAGAGTGAGTAGAACTTCGATTCTGTCATCATTTAGACCTGCAAAAGCAGATTCTACCTCCCACTGTGTAAAGCAATTCTACCTCCCACTGTGTTCAAAAGCTAATTTCTGTAGGACCCTACTCTTCAGAAAGCAGATTTCGCATGTTCAGGAACAAAATTAGTGCCGTGTTCAATCTCGAAGAATCCGGAGAGCATTCTTCATGTGGATCGGGAAACCTTGCTGGAGGATTTAGCTACGACCCGGAGTGCCTCATGAGAAATGATAGTGAGTTTAATGGAGTCCTCCGCCACTATCTGAATTTTACGTATGTAAATGAACACCTCAAAGAAAATTGTTATAATTCTCGAGAGTTTCGCTCCCTTTGTCAGAAGGATAGGCAAATATGGGTACGCCCCAGGAGGCCTCTCGCGCGGCAAGAAGGCAAAGTCAGCGGACGAGTCGCGCGCGTACTATAGGGATTTCGCGTCAAGTTGATAGAGTGTCCCACTGCACGTCCTACATCGCACACCACGCTGCTGCAACGTCCGACTCTGCCTTCTTGCCGCGCGACGGGCCTCCTGGGGGTACCCGGTAAATAATTATCGTGCACAGCACTATTTCCCAATCTTATGCAGTCCGCACTGCTTGCCAGCCCCACTTGCGCCCGCTAAGCAGGGCATCTTCAAGGACCGGGGCTTAGCAATTATTCAAGAAAGTGCTACAGCTCTTTACACATGCTCTACGACCTCTTACTGTCTTGCTTCTACCAGTTAATACGATAATGAGGGAGCGCATCGAGGAAGTATGTGCACTCCACGAAGCAGTTTACTTGGCTGTCGAAGCGGGAGTGGCGCTTTCACGACGGAAGATGCGCTGTTTTCTGAGCAGAACTTCGAAATCACTCCACCCTAAAAGCGTTCCTCCCTCTAGTTGAGTTGGTGATTTGGACGAGTTGAGTCGCCCAGCAGCGACACAACTGGAGAACTCGATTTCAACGTTTACTTGGCTGGTACCGTGATCTACATGGCGCGTTACGGTGATCTCGTTTACACGTCCACTTTCAGAGCTGTTACCTGTTCACGAGTGAAAACCAACGGCCGAAAAAAAGGGCCTGGTTTTGCGTTTTCTTGACAGATTTATCTGTCTTTTTTTCGCCACTGTCGTACCCCACATCTCCTCTAAACCCTTTTAGAAACTATTGTAATCGCGATTCTGATTAATGATTAGGTCAGCCATGTGAAGCCCTACTGCGAGAAAGCAAGCATACGCGTCGTCCGACTCCACCGCACGAATTTAGCAGGCCAAGGTTCTAAGCCGTCAAAATGTACGCGGGTTTCCATTTAGAACCCGGAGTGTCACCTACGAATTGACGTCAAAGGGCGATTCTGCGCTCGCTTATATCCATGCTCTCTTGTCGCCGATTCTTTTCCCTCTTCGCGACGCTTAGTATTTCTTACCTGTCTGTCTCTCGAGACTCTCCACTCCAGAACCTAAGAAGATTCACACTTTGTAAAGTTTTGAAGCAATTTCTTTTCCTTTTTTCCTCATCAATTATTGATCCACTTCACACCTCCATTTAAATTTTGAGCGAAATCATCACATCATCTTGATCCTGAGGCGTGCCTCTGAGTTTGCACGGCTATGCAAACCCTCTTCGCAGTAACTTTTAGGTGACAGCCTTTCGAAATTGCCCCCCAAAACCGAGGTAAGCAAACCAGCCCTTTTGGCGTTTCTGCTGGGGCCGTATGCTGAATGTTGGGGAGGGGATGGGGTCCCCGAGGTCGACGGACTACTTCAACTCGGTCGGTACGGTAGGAGAGTAATGACGCAAGTGGTGCAGCTGGTCCAGCAGCTCCGCCAAAAGGGCTGGTTACTTACCTCAGCCTTAAAGGAATCTTCCACGGAAAAAGCTCCGCCCTCATTACCACAGAAAACGATACCTTAAAGGAATCTTCCACGGAAAGAGTGATCATTTTGTCTTGTGTGTAGGATTAGTATTATCGAAACTAACGCTTATGTTCCGTTCTTTTTGCTATGCTCATGAGGCTAGGGGCCTAAGGGGTATCGTTTTTCTGTGGTAATGGAGGCGGAGCTTTTTCCGCGGAAGATTCCTTTAAGGAGAGACGAACCTGCGAGAGACTGCAGGCCGTCCTCTCTTTAAGGCTTAGTCCTGAGGTAAGCATCAAATTGAGGCGGTTTTAAGGACCGAGTTGAAGTAGTCCGTCGACCGTCGGGGACCCCATCCCCTCCCCAACATTCAGCATACGGCCCCAGCAGAAACGCCAAAAGGGCTGGTTTGCTTACCTTCCCAAAAGCTACCGCGCGCCTTTCCTTTCACTAAGCACCCCCATTTTTGGTTGCGATACTGCCAAAGTAGCATGCAAGTATCGTTTGAAATTTCCCGTTTCATAATGAATCCTAAAATGCTGCGAGGAATAGTTTACAGTGTACATCGGTGTCTTGTGGAGTGGACCGCTCCTACTACGAAACACAAGGTCGTGAAAGTTGGTAGGAATTTGAGAACAATCCTTCTGACATAAAGTGCGCCATGCATTCGCATCCATGTGGTGTTCTCAGATGAGTTGAATCCGTGTTCGGCCTGAAAAAGGGTTTGTGGCGGGAGAAAACAAAATAAGAAATGACAACCCTGCCTCAATGTGACAGGGGGTCCAAATATTATGGAGACGCGTGCGCGCGCAGTCATATCCCACTTTTTCCAGCTACGCCGCTCCATTTTCCAATCTTGTTTCTGAGCACTGATGATGAATCGTCAAGTCTACTCCCTACGCAAACCAAGTTTCCTGAAGTTCTCAAAACTAGTGAAATAACTACTTCACTTTGAGTCAGTCCTCAAATTGAACTCACTAGGGGCTCTGGCACGTTACATCTAGCAGCAGTCTAACCTATCAGAGAAGCCCTTATGAGCAACAGTTCAACTCTTCAATAAGTTTGGAATCACCACAGATGGAAAATTCGGGGACTCGAAAGTTACAGTTACCACCAGATAATTATCAGATGCAGAAACTAGGTCTCCCCTTGTCGACTTTCGTACACCCAAAATGAAAAAATTGATGTGAAAACCCAGCCAGACACTCTAAAGACTCCACATCTGTAGTGGATAGGAAGCCACTCGAGTACCATACTTGGGACTTCTTTTACCGGACCGAGCACCCAAGAATAAAGCAAAAATCCCCATTGAGTCGATTCTTTCGAAGTTCATTGCTTGCCCGAACGAGTTACAATGTGAAAACCACCACGGTGATACCCTGGCATTTCTGTTCACTTCACACCTGTATCCAGCGCAATAAACTGCAATACAAAGTACTCCCCCTCAAGAAGGCAAAGCAGAAGGCCTGGAAACATTTGGACACGCCTTAGTTGCGTGCCACCGCACGCCGCCCATCCCCCTCATCCGAAGGCTCGTGTTAACGGGGGAAGTGGCAGATCTCAATTCTATTCTGGAATTACTTTGAAGAGTTACAAATACTTCCCAGAAGTTGGTTTGTTCCATCAAGCTACTATGCGTTTTTAACGACACAATGTCTTGGTCCTCATCCATTGTTTGACCCACCCTGTAAAACAATATACATGATGTGTAGTGTGTCTACGCCGGTTGCTTCCCGTCTACTCTATCGCCTGAAGCAATCCAATGGCAGAAGGCACAAACTAGTAGGAATCGCTGTCGCGCGAGTGAACTCGTTGGGCCTCATCCCTGCAGAGGTCGCTGTCAGCTTCGTCGTCACGCAAGAATGTCGGCTTAAGGCCTGGTAATCATTAGGAAGTTACCACCCGCCCGGCAACTCACCCTCCCCCCAGCGCGATTGATGTAGAAATCAGCGCGCTTCCTCTGAATTGCAACCTTTTACATTCGAACGTTGCTGTTCGAGGGTTATCAGTCTCAGGGACTACCCTACTTCCCAAAACTAACGATTTCTTTGGAATCGTGTTCACAGAAGGGTGCCGCGAAATACCACTATCTGTATAACGAAGGCCAAGCGCTACGCGAATTGACCCTCATTCAAGACAGTGATTACGATAAAGTGAGAGCGCGACTCTGGGAGATGTATGCATCCCCACGAGCAGTGACTCGGGCGCAAAGAAGTAATGACCCCATTTTCCAGCTGCGAATCTGCGCTAGTTGCAGCAGAGTAAGCCCTGCCAACCGCCAAAAACCGGCCTCTCATCAACAAACCATCCCCGCACAAGCGCTATATTCGCCCATAGCTACTGCCAGATAGGTGCAATTGATATCACAAAAGCCGTATCTGAAAACGCTGTCGCGTCTAAGGTTAATCTTCGTGTGTCGCTTAGAACACAAATGCTAACTTTCCAGAGCGCAAACTCGTTCCGTAATCTGAGGCCCCAGGCAGGCGGTCTCAATCCGGCGGTTACCAATGGTTTCTTTGCTTTTTTGCCAATGTGTCCAACCTACCGTGCTCTATTCGCAATCCTTCCAAATTTAACTCCAACTCTCTCTCGCTAAACCTCGGCATTGATGGTGTATTATGAATGGTTTATTCTTCTGGCCTTTTCGCAGAAGGCTCACACTGGGCAACGGAGCGTGCCACGCCAAAACAAGGTCCCTTTATGTATACCATTTATATCTGATAGAGTGACTGCGGCAATTCAACGGTGTCTTGCCCGTGCGCAGCTGGACGATGACGTTGTCTTAGTGAGCATTCCTAACGACAATATCAGACGCCAACTCGTACGGAATAGACTCTACGATAGGCAGTGTATATCAGACCATTGCGTTACATGCCCGAACGGTGCAGTTGGAGATTGTGCCAAAAGTGGCGTGATCTACCAGATTGAATGTCAAGTGTGTAACGCAACATACATAGGGGAAACTGGAAGGACTCTAGCAATACGCGTTAAGGAACATCTTGCTGGAAAAAGGCGCGGCAATATAACAACACCGCTCGGCAAGCATGTAGTCGAAGAGCACCACGGGAATGACTTTGATGTAAAGTGCAAAATCTTAGCGTACGAGACTGAGATTTCCGCTAGGAAAGCGCTTGAGGCATTCTGGATTCACGCGCGGAATCCCAGAATGAATAACCGCGATGAGCGTCTATCCTCCACAAATGATTTCCTGCCGTTTTCACCACATTGTGAGCTACTGACGTAAACACTGAGACGTGCAGGTCTGAACTATAGCCTTTATACAAAGACTGCACAGTAAGCCTCAGTTACTAACCATAACTAACCCGGAGTGGCGTTGTTCTGCTCTTGCGGTGGTGGACTGGGTGAGTCTATTTTCCTCGTTCGGGGATTTTCGCTTGTTCTCCTTAACGCTCCGTCAGAAACGCTAGGGAGAAGCGGCGTTTGGCGGTTTAAAGGACAAATCTCAAACCTTAAGCCACGTTTAGGCCTTTGAGGAAGACGATCTCGTCGAAACGTCAGGCCACTAATAAAAGATTCTCCACCTAACAACCTCGTTGGCAGAAGAATAACAATATCATAATGTTTTAATTATACCTATGATTCATTGACACTTATGGTTGTAAAGCACAATAGGTTTTAGTATTCTACTACAACTTCCCTCTTCCCGATTTCGAAGCTTATACTCCGGCACGGCTTGTGGTTATTTTGGCTTTCATGATTT